ACACACACACACACACACACACACAGAGCAGCATTGAGGATTATTTTTGGATGATTCAGGTTTAAGCTGCTCTGAAGCTTTTCACTGACAAACAAACATGTTTGTGACACCTGAACCTGCTCAGACACACAACAGACACACAACAGACACACAACAGACCTGGACACACAAAAGTGCCAGAAATCTCCGTAATCCGACGGAGTGATGAGTTAATCCAGCAGGATTATCAGACTGTTAACATCTCTGTCATCATGAACCCACAAATCTAATTTGTCACTTGAAGCCGACAATCTGAGAAACGCAGCAGCATCAGCTCGGTTTGACCTTCAGGAGGACAACGAGGCAGAACCTGAGCCGCCAGAACCAGAACCAGCATCACTCGCTCTGTTAAATCTCTGCAGGATGAATCAACACTGCAGCATCCGATCAGCGCCTAAACTGTGTCAGTGGGTTAAAGAGGAAGCAGCCGCTCTGACTCTGCAGATTCTCCGAGCACGCAAACCCACCGGCCGGTTCTGAAGCTGCAGGTTTATCCTACAACCACACAAACCCACCGACCGACCGGTTCTGAAGCTGCAGGTTTATCCTAAAAACACACGAACCCACTGACCGGTTCTGAACATCATCATCATCACTGCAGCTGCTTCACATTTCACCATGAAGCAGCTAAAAACAAAAACAACCTAAAAATACAGCCGAGAACCAGCAGAACCAGGAGGTTCTCCAGAACTCACCCCGTCCCAGCACTCAGGCATGACTCCTCAGGGGCAGAACCAGAACCAGAAGAAGCTGAAGAGGTGAAGCAGCCAGAGCTCTCCTGCAGAAGGACTAGGACTGACTGAGCAGGTCTTTGTCTGCTCTCAGCATCACCTCCTCTTTAACTCTGCAGCAGGGGGAGGGGCAGGGCGCAAGCTGCAGCTGATTGGCTCGCAGCGCTGCCTCCCCTGCCCATGATTGGCCGGCAGCCCTGTCCGTCACGGCGCCTCTCATCAGCACCACTGCTCTAGTTTCTGCTGCTCATGAATCAGAGCAAATACGAGATCGACACGAAGCCAAGAACCACAACAACACAACAACATGACACAACAACACCTACAAAACACAACACAACAACACAACACAACAACATGACACAACAACACCTACAAAACACAACACAACAACATGACACAACAACATGACACAACAACACAACAACATGACACAACAACACAACATGGCCTCCACTGTAACACTGTTCATTGCAACACAACCAACACTACAACAAAACAACACAGTTTACTGCAACACAACCAACACAACAACATGACAAAACACAACAACAAAACACAACACAACAACA